AATTTATTAATATGTTTTGATTTTTGAACACAGAAAGTGGACCCGGGCAATCTACTTTTATAAAGAATGGGGTTCCTTATCATACATCAGTTGTCGCTTGTCTATGAGGTACTCGAAAGAGATTGGTAAGTCAATTGACACCTCGTCTCCAGTATACATGTATAATGGTGCAGAAGGGATCGAATTGCTTCTGCCCACTGCTTCTGAAAATACAATTAAGAAAGTCATTGGGTTTTTTTTTAATTCGCAAAAAAGATTTTTTTAAGTAAAAATGACATCAGTCAATTTTTTAATTTTTTTTTTTAAAGTCGTTTAACAGCAATTATGATAATTTTTTTTTTTTTTTTAATTTTAATTGACCGTGTTTTAGCAATATCAAAATGGTCAGACCAATTCATGAATTTATGACATTGAAAATGTTAATTTTTTTACATTAATATGGACAATGACATAATATATAAGTTAATATGAATTAACTATTATTAATAATCTTAATCAACAATTTATTTTTTTCACCATAATAAAGATATATTTTCAAAAATTTTTGTGTGTCTAAATTTATCAATTATGATTGATTCACATGCAGGCATTTTAATTTTACCCGATGAAGAAAAAGCCAAGTTTATATTGCCATTGTAAAACTGACTCCCGGCGCTTACCCAGTGATCAAGACGGTGGCACTTCCACCGAATGTTAAAGATTTATACAAGATGGAATCGCTTTATTGAACCATTTAAAAGACAGAGTTAAAAGTTACTCTTGTGGTATGTTTTAGGTAATATCTTAACATTCAATTATAGATTGAGCTTCAAACTCTACAGATAAGAGATCTCAATACATTTTTTCTAAAGTTTATGAAAGGGGGGGGGGGGTCATGGACGCCTACATAATACATTCGAGGTTGTTTTTCTGCTTGTCGGAAAGGCCCGAGAATTTAAGTTTCAATCAGTTGGGACTTCTGGCGCTTGACTCGGTGTTCCACACGGTGGGACTTTCTTCTGAGGCATGTTTTAGCTTCCATCTTCAGTTTAAAAAAAGCTGAAAATATAAAGAACATCAATATAGGGTGAGGAAAATACATATTGCAATAATAGTAAGGTATACCTGACACTTCAAACTCATAATTATGGGCAGCATTCATGAAGACTGCAATTTAGTTAAAATGGTAATTACAGCACGGCCCGTAAAACGCAGGGGTAGAGGGCAATTTACACTAGCCAGTAGAGGACTGATACTACTTGTTCAGTGCTCTCAGAATGCTTGTTCATTAGAAAAAAAAATAATTCTAGAACAAACAGAAAATATATCCTACATGTATATGAGAAAAGTTTATTCAAACCTACGAGTACCTGTACATGTACATATGCAGTGTGATGTACAGAAAATATAAAATCATTCTTAATTGTAGTATCACTAGACACATGGTGAGATGGGTACATACCCTTCTCTGACTCATGTTGACCAGTGCTGCATATGTTAATCAGGTCTAGAATAACAAAGTGCGCCATATGAAAAATGAAATTCTTTTGGCATCTGCAGTTTTGAACAGACATCCTTTAAAATTCCTACATAGAACAAATACCTAATATTTGGAATTTTGCACAAATCTACTTAATCTTTAGGGGTGCCATTCCTGACGCTACATAACTGAAAATTTATCAGTTAAGTTGCGTAGGACAACTCCGTTTTGAAGTGAAATATCATTCAAGATTTGCGGTTATATGACAACAACACTCAAAAGTTGCAAATGCAAATGATCTCTTAATCAATGAGAATTTAGGCCACAATTCGAAAGTAGGTAATTGTCACCATCTACTGAAAGTTGTAAGATTTTATAGATGTTTCATAAATCAGTCAAAATATGGTTAGATATAGATAAAGACTTATCATTGATAGCGCCCCCCCCCCCTTAAAAAAATGATAATTTTTATAGAATCTTAATTATCTTTTTGTTTTGTTTTTTCTTTCTTTTTTTTTTTTTTTTTTTGTTTTGTTTTGTTTTTTTTTGTTTTGTTTTGTTTTGTTTTTTTTTGTTGAGGGAAATACGCCTCAAATTAGAGTTATCCTTTCTTACTAAAATACATAGAACCCACGGTCAACGGTGTGACCGGTCAACAGGGGATGCTTACTCCTTACAGGCACCTGATCCCACAGTCTGATAAAATTAGATGTTCCGAATAAACTACCGCTTCTCAAACATGGCACGACCTTTGCCATGCATATTTTGTTTACTAATATAAGAAACTCCTCGGGCGTTTAGGTTTTGAAGTGAAAAAAGAAACGCATCCGAACTACAAGCCAAGATTTCGGAGGCAGCGTTTTCATTGGCTATTCAAAAGGTGGCTCTGACGTGACCCGAATGGGATATTGTTAGATGTTTGAGAAGCGGTAGCGGATTCAGAACATCAAATTTTAATTAGATTCGTTGCTGATCCCTCCTCTCGAATTTTCGGGGGTCCGTGTTTTATGCCCTGCTCATAGATTTGTTTGTTTGTAGATTTTTTGAGATCGATCTCTGTTCGTTATCTTCACCTTTTTCATTAAAAACTTTTTCTCTGGATTAGTTAGATATTCAGCATACTAGTAGATGTTAACGTAGGTAAATGTAGTTTCATCCATTTGTAGGTGAATTATTCAGTTTATATTAGATGGTAATGAAAATAGTAAAATATTATATTTAAAATTCTTTTTGTTGCTTTCTTGACTCAATATTAGGAAGACTTCCATTTCTTCTTGAAATACATACATTTTTTCAACCAAATTAGTAGTCGGGTAAGGATGCCTATCAGGCACATTTTCACATTCTATAGAATGTGAAATAAACTCAATTTTTCACATTTGAACAATTTCTGCTTATTCTCTAGAACCACCAAACCTATTTCAACCAGTTTTGGCATATATAACATCTATGGGAAAGGGGGAATACAAATGCGAATTCCATGGTCCGTCTTTGCCCCCAACCCCCGGAGCCTAAGGGTAAGGCTAAAATCATCAAAATTAATTCAAAAATTAAAGAATCTTCTTCACTCCTGGATATCAAGCGGTCAAACGGTTGACCGCCTGATTTTCTGGGGGGCAGGGGTTCTGGAGTTACATGTACATTTGTAGCGTGGGGCTCTATTGATCATCGAGTGAAAATGCATTAATTCTTTGAAAATCTTTGCTTTTGAGTATTAAGCAGAGACACTAAGTGCACGAAGATGCGCTTCTTTCAAATTTTGGAATTCATGTCCCCTTAGAGAGGGGTACTGGAGTTCGGGTAGGGCTCTACCATAATGATTCCCATATCATGTATGGGGATATTTACTCTTCTTTGAGAGAAATTATTCCTCCCTGTTATGTAAGATAATTAAACAATGTAAATAACGCAATGAATAAAAGAGTTATACAAGAATTTTTAATATAGATTTTAATATATAATAATATGAAAAAGTATGCTTTCATAGTTTTAAATAGTCATGTAGACTTGTACATAATAGATGAATGGTATGAGACCAAAAAAAAAAAAAACCTTCATAATTATATGTGCATAAAATGAATCAAAGAGAGACTAGTAAGGTTGGGGATTGTTTTGGTTTTACTCTGTTAACATCGTGTTTTGTGCTAAAGCACTTCTCAAGCGTTTTTGTTATAGATACACTGTAGTAATACATTGTAGCGAGCACTGACATATACAGGCAAGTTTCTGATTTATTGTTGATTACAATACTAACTATTATGTTGATACCTTATCGTCCTTTTTCTCTTGTTTTTGAGATTTTGTTTATTTTGTGTTATATATTTATTTCACCTTCCTTGATAGGGTCGTATTATACTGAGGTGTCCCTTCATGTCCCTTACTCTCTTTTTTATTGGACTTGAACACATTACAAATTCTACAAACTTTTAAGGTGAAACCCGCAATACTTACCAAAGGTCGATCGACATTTACTGTAAAAGGATACATTACCCATAGAATATGTTATATTCGTACCGTTAAAAGTTAGGCGGGGAGGTTTTATGCATATTAAATACAATATAGTGGCCCTTACTTCATACCTGAATGTTGTCTTTATAGAAGGTCTTCCGGGAGATGCTTTAATATGGGGGGGGGGGGGGGGGTAGGGCGGTTTACTCTATATTTGACATTCGACCTGCTGCTCTCAACAGGTGTGTCGCCATATCTAGATTTGATTATGAGGAAAACGAGAATGAAAGTAATCATAAATTCCTACAACGTTTCATGCAGAGCTATATTTAAGATGTTGTAGCAATTTGTTTGTTTCTCGGCAGTTTATATCTAAAAATTAGGAAACATATACCCCCGGTATGCTTATTTCTATTTTTTGGGAGGTGGGGGTTATGATATATGTACCCTTTTCTATGCTAGGTATAAAAAGAAAACAAAAGTCTGAATGAGAGTATACGTATGCCAATCAATCCCACGGCAGATCGAGGAAATTGAACAAAAACTGGCAGAAAACGCATTATAAACTGATAAATGCATATGTTAAAAGGGGTTGCCAGTGCAGACATAATGGAAATATCCCTAAATAAACTATGGTCCTTCTTCGATCGATTTATATTCCACGTTCTTAAAAATAACGAGACGAAAAAAAAATCGAAGTAGGGAAAATGTCATGTATTGATTTTTGTTGTTTTGTGTATGTGTGTGTGTTTTGTTTGTTTGTTTTGTTTGTTTGTTTTTTGTATGTTGTTTGTTGTTTTGTTTGTTTTTTTTTCTTTTGTAATTTTAATAATAAAGAGGTAATTAAAAGAAGACAAAAATATCATGACGAGCCCCTTTGATTTGTATATCGTCATGGATAATTCATGATCTCACTAAGTAATCAACGATTTTAATTAATTCAAAAACGGTATATACGGTTTGTGCAGATGTATGTAATATTGATACCCTTAAAAGAAATAGTTCCCCGAGACAATAAATAAATAAATAAATAAATAAATAAATGTGATACAGAAAAGCTTATAACGTGCCTTCCGTTAAACAACCAGTGGCTAAGTTGCAGATTGTTTTATTACATCGACACAAGAATGCGCAAAGCATGCCGTAGTACGGAAATTCACAAGTTTCCAGACAGTCTACACCGAAATATCCAGGTACACAATCTGCAAAAAAAGGATGCAAAAAAATAAATTTAAGACATTTCTTAACAAATGTAAAATAGACTATCTGTATTTTAAACAAGGCAAGGAAGCCCAAGACACGCCGGGGCTTTTCAGGCAACGATATACATGTACGGTTCAAATTATCAAGATTTTCTCCAAAATAGAAAATTTTTACTTCATATTGATATCACTGAACAACATTTTGACAATATTTTGAACTTTTACATGTAAGATATTAAAGTATCAATGGTTATGTATATTGGTACGTACACGTATATCATAAACTGTTTCAAAAAGGACTTTGAATATAGACCCACACCTGGAAGTGTGTCGACCTAAATATATATATATATATATATATATATATATATATATATATATATATATATATATATATATATATATATATATATATATATATATATATATATATATAAATGCAGAATTTATTATAAATCCCTTTTTTTCGTTCTTTCCCCCTTGATAATTGAAGATAACATGCATGCTTATTTTCAGTTTTGTGTAGGAACACTACACTATCAAAAAGAAAAGATAATAACAGAAATCAACAGACAACCTGTACATCTTTTTTCATTGTTATTCCATGAAGTTCCAGAGCAACATCCGTCTTCCCTTAAAATATTAGATTGAAATACAGGTTAATGATGGATTGAACTTTTACATATTTTCTATTTTTCAAAATTTTAAATTATTAATAACTGTTACATTGCATATTCAAAAAAAAAAAAAAAAAAAAAAAAATGCTGCATGCTTAGTAAAAAAAAAAAAAGATAACTAGCTCTGGACTTTTTAAATATGAAAATGAATTTCAATTGATATATTTACTACTATTTTTAGTTATCTTTTTAATTGAAAAAGAAAAAAAAAGCAAAATGGTATTGAAGAACAATATATTTTTTTTATTTTTTTCCCCCAAAATGAATTATATATACGATGAGCAAACCAAGGATTCCGAAGAACTTCTAAAGTAGAAATCCTTACCTCTCCTCCACACAAGGCCCCTTCTGTGAAAAAGTGCACCAGAAACAGAAGATGGAAGACACAATTAGGCGACTGTATATCATTCTTCGTAATCAACACTTTACTTTCTTTCTGTGTCAAATACAATGTACATGTACAAAAAAACTTCCTTATTTTCTTTAAGTCCTTCATTCCAATCATCATTGTGTTACAATGTTATAAAATTGTTACACGGGGTTTCAATAATATTGTTTAACTATATTTCATTTTAGGTTCGAATTTTAGGTTCTGATTGGTCATTACTCAGCAATATCTCTTGGCTTGAATTCAGAATTCTTGAATCCGAATACCTTTCGAACATCATCTTTCATCATGGATGTACAATTAACGTGTTCTGGTTTGATATAGTTATTGTGATATTGACATCATATTTTTTTTTCATTAATAAATTCGTATATTTATATATGAATATTATACTTTATATAACCAACAAGGAAGTTTAATCTGATTATTAAATTGCAATCAAAATTTCAATTTTGATTTTCATACAGGATATTTATGTACACTCATATGGAGAAATGGTGTTCATTCTGCCCATTTGCATATCGTCCATATTGGAACTATAATGGCGACCGATTTCATAAAGGTTTATATAGAGAAAGTACAAAATATCGCAAATTTTTATATCCTAACTATTTCGGATAAAGTTCTTCCGCCGATGGTTTGATTCTTCTTAATATCATCTAACGGAAATGACAAGATTGTTGATACTAAAATGAAAGTTGCGACCGCCTTTTTGGTTTGAAAATTCGAAGCGAGAGTATATTGTTTTAATGCAGGAAAGAGTACAGAATTGGTGTTTTTATCATTTTGATGATGAAATGTAAGTGTTTATTGCAAGTTGAAAGAGTTCTTCCGCCGATTAAGAAGTGCAGGAGAGAGCCTATTTTTATAAATTACATATGATTTACCATTTCATGAGGAGTTACGACCGCCTTTTTAATTTGAAAACGGCAATTTCTTGCATCAATGTGACCTACATAATAACAGAAAAAAACGGTATCCTGAGTGGTCAGCTGTTAATCACACAAAATTCTACCCATATAACTATGACGGAGGCTTGAAGAAAAAAAAAAACGAAACAGGCTTGCAGCTTTTAACATAAAAATTCAAAGAAATGGAATTTCGAGTATATGCAGTATCTCATGAATATTAATGAGAAATAAATCACGTGGAAGCAATCTCATGAATAAATTGCACACCATTTCTCCATATGCTAGCCTAAAATCAATTAAGTGTATTCATGAATGGGGACGGAGGTTTCCACTTATACATAAGATGATTTTCCAAAGCACTTTTGACAAAAAAAAAAAAAAAATGACACAAAAGCAAATTAAAATCAAAATCGTGCATCAAAAGGGAAGAATGCGTTGAAAATTACAGTTAAAAAACTAAATAAAGAACTCTTATCTATTCCCTGTACATATATATAAGGATTTGAACATGATGACATCAAGCGAAAAATTACCTGTATATTAGATCAACCTAATGCATAACATTTCTGTCAAAAATAAAACAAGAGGCCCATGGGCCACATCGCTCACCTGAGCACATTGGCTAGGCAAAAGCACAAAGCAGTTCAGTATTCAAATGATCACTGGGGGGGGGGGGTTGAATTTTAAACTACCTGATGATGCTTCCATGTCATTATAACAAATGGCTTTATTGTACTTGAGATTTTTAAAAAAAAATTCCCATATATTCCTTTGTAAAAATTTGATCCCCCATTGTGGCTCCTCCCTATCCCAGGGGTCATCATTTGAACAAACTTGAATCTACACTACCTGAGGATGCTTCCATATCAATATGACTAAACATGGCTTTTCTATTCTTGAGAAGATATATTTTTCTATATGTCCTTATGTAAAACTTTTGATCCCCCATTGTGGCCCCACCCTACCCCCTGGGGTCATGATTTGAACAAAATTGAATTTACACTACCTGAGGATGCTTCCTTATAAATATGATTTATCATGGCTTTGCTGTTCTTGAGAAGAAGATTTTTAAAGGTTTTTTCCTATATATTTCTATGTAAAACTTTGATCCTCCATTGTGGCCACGCCCTACCCCGGGGGTCATGATTTGAACAAGCTTGAATCTACACTACCTGAGGATGCTTCCATATAAATATGACTTACCATGGCTTTGCTGTTCTTGAGAAAAAGATTTTTAAAGAATTTTCTTATATATTTCTATGTAAAACTTTGATCCTCCATTGTGGCCCCGCCCTACCCCCGGGGGTCATGATTTGAACAAAATTGAATCTACACTACCTGAGGATGCTTCCATATAAATATGACTTACCATGGCTTTGCTGTTCTTGAGAAAAAGATTTTTAAAGAATTTTCTTATATATTTCTATGTAAAACTTTGATCCTCCATTGTGGCCCCGCCCTACCCCCGGGGGTCATGATTTGAACAAAATTGAATCTACACTACCTGAGGATGCTTCCACATCAATATGACTTATCATGGCTTTGCCGTTCTTGAGAAGAAGATTTTTAAACATTTTTCTTATATATTTCTATGTAAAACTTTGATCCTCCATTGTGGCCCCGCCCTACCTCCGGGGGTCATGATTTGAACAAACTTGAATCTACACTACCTGAGGATGCTTCCATATAAACATGACTCATCATGGCTTTGCTGTTCTTGAGAAGAAGATTTTTAAAGATTTTTCCTATATATTTCTATGTAAAACTTTGATCCTCCATTGTGGCCCCGCCCTACTCCCGGGGGTCATGATTTGAACAAACTTGAATCTACACTACCTTAGGATGCTTCCACATCAATATGACTTATCATGGCTTTGCCGTTCTTGAGAAGAAGATTTTTAAACATTTTTCCTATATATTTCTATGTAAAACTTTGATCCTCCATTGTGGCCCCGCCCTACCCCCGGGGGTCATGATTTGAACAAACTTGAATCTACACTACCTGAGGATGTTTCCATATAAACATGACTCATCATGGCTTTGCTGTTCTTGAGAAGAAGATTTTTAAAGATTTTTCCTATATATTTCTATGTAAAACTTTGATCCTCCATTGTGGCCCCGCCCTACTCCCGGGGGATCATGATTTGAACAAACTTGAATCTACATTACCTTAGGATGCTTCCACATCAATATGACTTATCATGGCTTTGCTGTTCTTGAGAAGAAGATTTTTAAAGATTTTTCCGATATATTTCTATGTAAAACTTTGATCCTCCATTGTGGCCCCGCCCTACCCCCGGGGGTCATGATTTGAACAAAATTGAATCTACACTACCTGAGAATGTTTCCACATGTGTTTCATTTTTCCTGGCCCTGTGGTTCTTGAGAAGAAGATTTTTAAAAGATGCTATTAATTTTTCACTAATTCTTTATTATCTCCCCTTGAAAGAGGGCGTGCCCCTTCATTTGAACAAACTTGAATCCCCTTCACCCAAGGATACTTTGTGGCAAGTTTGGTTGAAATTGGCCCAGTGGTTCTTGAGAAGAAGTCGAAAATGTTAAAAGTTTACAGAAAGACAGACGGACGCCGGACAAAAAGTGATCAGAAAAGCTCACTTGAGCCTTCGGCTCAGGTGAGCTAATAAAAAGCATAACATCGAGCAATTAATTTAAAATCACATGTATCTACCAAAATACATGTACTCTTATTAAAACGTAGTGTCTTATCATTTCACAATATTGTCCTCTCTAAGTGAAAGAACACAACAAATGCAGAAAAAAATATCACTATAGTGTTTTTGTGTTTTGCTCAAGCCCTAGCCTTATCTGATAATTTCAACAATATTTTTAAAGCCCCGATATCCCTGCCCAATCTATGAAAATAAATGTTCATCGGAATCAAAATTGTGATCCCCCCCCCCCCCCCCGGGTCATTGTCCACAAATATATGCATCCTTAATGGGATAATTTTTTTTTTAATTCCGGAAATTGAAATTGATGCCCAAGTATAATAATGATACTTTCAAATATGAAATAAGGATTTCGGTAAAATCAAGCATATTTGCTAGATACTAGTAAACTATATTAACCTTTATGATCCGAACGTCTCAACTTCCGGACAAAGTTTGTGGGAAACATTTATATTTATATATTTACATTTCCAATAAATTTCCCCTATGATTCTTTACAAAATAGTGCAAAATTTTTTGCTTTAAATATGACAGTTGAATGGCGTTATTTGTGGCAAATCATCAGAAAAATAATGTAAATATAAGAAATGAATTTAATTTTTGAAGATTCATGAGGTATATGAACTACAATGCTTCACGCCGGCATATTTATCATGAAGCGCTAACGCGCTTCATGAAATATGCCGGCGTGAAGCGTCGTAGTACTAAGTATGCTTCAGTAATGCACACGATTCATTTATCCAAACAATTTGCTTGAGAACCCAAGTTCCGGTTTAACTAGGCAAGACTGTATATATCTAAACCATATCCATTATATAGAAGAAAAACAGACTCAGCACAAAGACAATATGTCTCACACATATTTTGTGTAAAGTCACTTTCAAATTAGTAAAAATAAGAAGGGCAACGAGAAAAAACAGTTCCATTAATAAAAATAATGCATAAAACTGCAGGTTTCTATAAGAAACTTTTGTGGAAGGCAGTTTATGAGACCATGTAGAAATAGTTCGAGTGTGTGAAAAAAGAACTTGCAAGATTTCGATTACAGATATATTTTTTTTTTCTGATCTGCGATGTTGCCGACCAATATCCTGCTTGTGAAACCGGAACAGATGAGGTTTCCTTTTCGTCTGTCCTCAGTCCTTCGTCCGCCAATCAATCTGTACTATCCGTCTGAAATGAGTTTTGATATGTTGATTTATTACAAATCAAATTTGAATTTCATTCAATGACTTTTTTTCATGGAATTTTAACGGATTGACCAGGACTCGGATGTTTAAGGGGAACCAGGTCCCAGGACCATTCGAGAGCAAATTAAAGTGAACATTTCGATTTTAGATAGATTGATTTTGTTGAAACATATACCCTGAAAAACTGTAATTTTTTTTAATATTAAAATTCAAACACATGTTTTTTTTTTTTTTTTTAATTTAAGGCTGTTGTTCCCCTGCAGTTTATATTCTTAAGGGACAACACCCAGGTACATGTATAGGGACTGGTAATGCTACTCTCAAAAAAGCTACTTTGGTATGAAAATACATGTATATTGTTTTCTTGTGCATAAGCTTATTATTATAAAAAAAAAATGGAAAATGTGTCCTATGCATCGCCTCCACACAACAATTAACGAAAACTTAAAATCTTACTTGATAAAGATGTTTTTTATCTGTCTTAGGCTTGGTTCAGGGAAAGTG